CCTCTGCTGGTCTCAGTGGCTCTCCAGGTAGGATGACCAAAACCCACACACCTGAAAGGGTTTCAGCCCCTAGTCGCTGTGTCTTTTTTTTAGAAGGAGCTAATGCACTTCGTTATTTACCATTATAATCGAATAAGGGAGAACCAATATGTGCCCCATGAACCATCAAAGGCATTCTTCTCTGCCCCTCATTGTACAATAGCTGCTGGATGTACAGAGTAAATCCACTCTAGCATGCCCCCTTCTGAGTCTTTGTTTCTTTCATCCACTGTCTGTCCTGATGGCTCTGGCCTTACTATTTTGCCTACAGTGGGCTATTACTTTCTCCAAGATTCCTAGAGCCATCCTAGTGACCTATTCGCACAGTATCCTGGGGGACCTTGCCAGGTCATATAAGGTCGTGCTCACACCACTAAACTACTTTGTCTAGCATTTTGCTTTCCTCCTCCACCCTCCCTTCCCAACCCCATACATAGAGGCATATGCTCTCAGCTTCTGCAGGTATATTTATGTTAGTTAGGTCCTTTAGTTCCTTCAGGAAATAGTCCCTTTCTTCCTTTGTAACATTCAGCATTTCCTCAGTGGGGTCATTTGTTGTGACTTGACCTTAGTTATTGCTCCGGTAGACAAGAAGAAAGTTGCAGGTGGATGCTAAGGAGGGTATGAGTTGCCTTGCAAGGTAGATACTTCATTTTTAAGTGAGATGGATGGGGCACTTGAACAAACCCAGAGTGTTCTGAGTGATGTGGGGTGATGTGGGGTTTTAAGGTTTTTAAGTACTTCAACTCAGATGCCCCATCCAAAGTGTCAGGATCCCACTTCCTCCCACTACAGCCCTGACCTTGGCAGAGCAGACTTGCCAGAGCTGAGAATTCAACCTTTTTGGGTTTCTACTACACTTACAACTAAGTCCTGAGTCTGATCCTCAGTTTTTTTCTTCCCTCATTGATATTGGCTGCTAAGGAGGTGCTCTAGCTTTCATCCTTAGCCTTTAAATGGCGATTCATCACCTTCAACTTTTTATTGTCTTTCCCCCAAGCATAGGTTTACTCCATCAATACCTACTCAATCCCATAGTTCTTAAGTCGCTATTTTCCCCATATTTAAAAAATGCCCGATAGATTGCATCTACCAGAGCATTCTTGTACCAGCATCCCTTCCCACCCACCCATCCCATCACTGCTGCTGAAAGTTTTAACAGTTGTATTGCTCCAGCATGCCAGGGCCTATCAGGGCTTCACCTGCCAGCTGGCCAGCAGGTGACTCAGCTCCTCTGGATCAGACCACACTCCTTGGACTAATTGGTTTAATTCAGAATCTCTGGAAAACCAACTCTGAGATGGAGATTTGCAAGCAGGAAAATTTATTAGTAACACCCTTGGGATCAATGCTGTGTGGGAGTGAAAAGAATAGGACTGAGCAGAAAGAGAAGTTGAACTAAATCTAGTCACAGCAAAGCCCTCAGTTATTCCCCTGGGAGCTGTTCCCTTAAGAAAGAGTGCTTCAGCTCCGGCTGGTGTGGCTCAGTGGATTGAGTGCCAGCCTGCAAGCTGAAAGGCTGCTGGTTTGATTCCCAGTTGGGGCACATGCTTGGGTTGCTGGCCAGGTACCCAGTTGGGGGTGTGAAAGAGGCAACCACACACTGGTTTGCTCATCCATCATGTTTCTCTCCCTCTCTTTCTCCTTCCCTCCCCCTCTCTGTAAAAAAAATAAATAAATAAAATAGTAAAAAAAAAAAAAAGAAAGAGCCCTTCAGTGTGGTCTCACCTTGAGGCTGCATCTGCCAATCATTTGTGTGCCCTCTCCTGGAGCCTGGTGTGACTTGGCTAAGGTAATTCTCTTGTTGAGGCCAATTCTTGGAAAGGGACTCAGATGAGAGCTGTTGGCCACTGACATTCCCAGCAGCTGGGGAAATGGGCACCACAGTCCTGAGGAGTTGAGTGCTCCTTGCTATGGTGGAGGAGTGGGGAGTGGGCAGAATGGAGGGAATGCTACTGGAATAAAGTGAAGAAAAAATTGTCAAAGACTATTACATGACCAAAAAAATAGAGGAGGCCCTGGCTGGTGTGGCTCAGTGGCTTGGATGCCGGACTTCGAGCCAAAAGGTCATTGGTTTGATTCCTGGTCAAGGCACATGCCTGGGTTGTGGGCCAGGTGCCCACTTGGGTGTGTGTGGAGGCAACGATAGTTCTCTCCCTCTCTTTCTCCATTCATTCTCCTGTCTCCAAAAAGTAAAATAAAATCTTAAAAAAAACAGAGAATGAATAAATGAGGTACATTTGAAACTACATCAAACAAAGACTAGTAGTTTCCCCGAATACTCCTGCATTGGACAGTGCAGAACGGAGGATGTTAGGAGACAACTCCACTCCTATTCTACTCTGAAGCCTGTGTCTTTCCACTAGACCAGAGCAGGTCAAACTGGTAGTCCACGGGCTAAAGTCAGATAGCAAGTGCATTTTGTTTGGATGCACAGTATTTTTAAAAAATGTGAATTGGCTGCCACTGTGCAAAAATTGGAAGAGTTTATGTATAAGTTCAGATCTCCAGTCTGCAATAACTGGGAAGATCTAGCAACACTGTGTCAATATTCCTGCATGGCAGTAACTGACTAGAGTTGAGTGACAGTTTCCCTTTTATGTGGGGAGGGGGGGATGTGCTCCTTAGTTCACCAAGGTCTCTATGCATTACATTCTTTGGCATTTGTGATTGGAATTTCTGCTATACTCTGCACTGATAACACAGTGCATGATACATATAATAGGTATTTGGGTACTGTGTACTGATTCAGTGGAAATGAGTGAATTTAATTGGAGAGAAAGCTGGGATGAAGTCTAGACCTCTAAGTGTAATGAGAGATTTGGCACTCAGGGGAAGCAAGAGAGAACAGCAAGTGCAGATTAGGATGAATTAATGATGTGCCGGCTGGAGTGTGAGTAAAGCAGGAAGAGCAGAGGGCTGAGGCCTGATGTCTTACCCTAGAGTTAGAAAGGAATGGGGAATCAGGAAAGAAACCAGAGGAAGAGAAGAAAGAGAGGCACAGAAGGACCTCAGCCATGGAACACCACTGGAGTCAAAGGAGCTGCACCCAGGTTTAGGCAGCTGCACCCAGTCTAGTGCAGAAGATGAAGGGAATAGACAGGCAAAAAGCCATGGCAACGGGAAAGTAATTAGGGACTTTCAGAGGAAGTGTGACAAAAAGACAGGAGAGTTGGGGGTCTGGAAGTTTAGCAGCGAATAAGCAGCATTGGTATGCTCTCTGGGGGTATGAATGAGAGCCTTTTCAGGGGTCCTAGCTGGAGAAGGCATAGACAAACATTCATTTAATATTCATCCTTTTCTTCAGCATTGTCATCATTTCTGACCTCATCCAAAAGAAATTAGTCATTATTCTTGTTGCATTTTTAAAGAGTGGACTGAAGAACTATCCAGACCTTGTCCTCTTGTTCTAGTGGAATGAAATATTAATTAATTTAGCATGTATTTTGGACAATCACCAGCCAGTAGAGACTGGATGCTTCTCTCATAGACATATCTATGTGTACATGGGCTCTTGGCTTTCTGGATTTTTCTGTGGTAAAATTAAAATTCTAGTTTTGCTCTGCCTTTTCACTCAGTATCCTTCTATGTGGCCTAACAGGCTACTAATTAGTGTATGCCCAGAATATGTAGACTCATTTTAACATTAGCCTAAGTAGAGAATATAGAGGAAGATAAACCTAAAAATAACTCATTACAAAGTTCATGTTGGATGTAGACAGATCATCCATTGTCTTGGATGTAATCCTTTTCCTGGAAAACCACTGTGACCAATTTCACATGGAATAATTTCAATTCTGGTATTAGGGGCGTAGGGAACACCTTGTTGTAGGAGAGCTACAGTCTGTTTCTATTGTCTTTGGAGTCAAACCACCTGGGTTTTACATCTTTACTCTGCCTCTTACCAACTCCGTGACTTACGGCAAATCCCAGACCCCCTGTGACCTAGCCTTATCAGTTAGATGAGGTTGATACCTATCGGAAAGGCCCATTGAAAGTCTTAAATGAGAAGATGTGTTGAATTAATGCCTGTCCACGCTCTTAAAGGCTTTTTAGAGGGTGGTGAAACTTGAATCTTTCTATTTGCAACCGTGTAAAAGTTTTATTAACTTGGTGCCTATCAGTCCAACAGAGGAAGTTTGCACTGGGATTCCGGAGTCTGAGTACTTTGCTATTGGATCTAGCATAGGCATTTAAAAGATCGTTTAAAAAAAACACACAAAACTGATACTCTCTTGGACTTGTTTCTGTTTCTCATAGTAACTACGAGGGACCTGGGAACCTGAGGTTGTGTCTTACTGTTTTTGTGAGAGCTTAAGGCAGAGAGGGGACCAGCATAGCTTTCCTGCCCAGAACAGTGACATCGGTCTGCAAACTGGGAGAAATGTTAGCCCCAGGGTGCTCTAACTTCCAACCCCGGGAGCAATCCAAACCTGGAGGCCGGCGGGGGAGGGGAAGGCTGGTGTGTTGCTGGGGATGGAAGCGGATGCTCCCGGGTCAGCTCAGACTTTGGCCCGCAGCATCAACAGCGAGAGTCTAGGTAAGCCTAGCGGCTATAAGGGACGCGCGCCGCCGGGCCGGGAGGAGTCAGGTGACGTCACCTCCAGGAGGACTCGCTTTTTCATTAATGAAACCGGCCGGCGCGGGCGCATGCGCGGCAGGCCCCCTTCCCTCTCGCTTCCCCCTCCCCTTTCCCAGCCGCTCTCTATCTCTAGCTCGCTGGTTCTCCCTCTCCCCGGGCGGTGGAAAGGATCCCACTTCCGGTGGGGTGTCATGGCGGCGTCTCGGACTGTGATGGCTGTGGGGAAACGGCGCTAGTGGGGAGAGCGACCAAGAGGCCCCCTCCCCTCCCCGGGTCCCCCTCCCCCGCCCCCCTCCCCCTAGCCTCCTCGCCAACGCCCCCTTCCCCTCTCCCCCTCCCGGCTCGGCGCAGGCCCCCCATCCCCACCCCCGTGGGAACGTTCGGAGGCTGCACTCCTCAGACCCTCTCTTCGACTCTTCCCTCACCTCAGCCCCCGCTCCCCGCCTTCTTCCCTGCTCAGGGCGCCGGCCGCCCCGTCCCTCCGCCGCCCCCCGGCCGCGGGGAGGACATGGCCGCGCACAGGCCGGTGGAATGGGTCCAGGCCGTGGTCAACCGCTTCGATGATCAGGTAACGGGCCGTGGCGGGGGGGGAGGTGGGAGCAGTGTGGGGGTGGGGACGGAGTGGGTGAGGGAGGAAGGAGCAGCCGCCTCCCCCGCGGCTGCCTCAGGCGCTGGAGGAAAGGAAGGGGGGACTAGTGGGGGTGGCCTAGGGGGAAGTGCGGGGAAGGAGGGGACCGCCGGTAGTCGGGCTCTCTTTCCCACCTAAGTCGGGGAGTGGGGCCTTTTCCCTGGCCGCCCCCCCACGGACCCTCTATCCGTATTATCTCAGCCCATCTGCTTGCTAATAAGGATGAGTGACCTGGGGGCGCTTTCTGGGGCTCTCCATCTGGATTTAATCATTCCCGCCTTACTTTTCTTTTTGAACGAAGGTGGGTAACATTTAGGGGTTCCCTCTTCCCTCAGTGGACCTCCCAATTGGGGGTGAGCAACTGAAGGCACCCCAAGGCCCGTCTTGTGTACCCCCAATAGGAGAACGGTAACACCCCGCCCCTCCTCCAGTTCCTTCAGCTTCCTCTCTTGGAGGGGGAAGAGTAGAAGAAATCAGGGACAGCACAGGTTTTCTTACTTTCTGCTCCGCCGTCTCCGCCTGCCCCTGGAGCTTAAATGCACGCGCGCACACACACACACATACACACACACACACACACACACACACACACACACACACACACACACACACACACACACACACACACACACACACACTGCGCGTTTTGTGCCCACAGGGCGTCCCCCCATATCCTCATGAGATAGGACTGGCTTTTACATTGGCGTTTGTAGTGTCAACCGTGGTTCTTGATCCCTTCTGCTTCTGAAATATTTTTCCCGTTTTTCCTCCCTTGATAATTACAGCTTCTCCCTTTACTTTTGCCAGGTGTCTGAGACTGTTATTGTTGTTTTCTTGAGTGAGCTTCTTAGGGAGTAAGGGGAGAAGGGTGAAAGGCAAATGGGAAACTGCATCTGAATCCTGACAACAGAGAGCAAAGACAGCTGGGATGTGGTCCTAGAACCCATCATTCTGCTAGTATTTTGTTACTGTTTTGGGGCACCTCTTGGTTGACAAGAGAACTTTCATTGAGACTATGTGGGATGGAAAAAAAAGTTTCATAGCTTGGGGAGGTGCCTTTTTATTCCCTGAGCTTCCCACAGTAATCCTAGGGCTGGCTGATCAGAATGAATGTGCTCGTAGTCTTTTGTCAATGGGAATTAGTTTAACTTTGTGTTGCTGTAGGTAGCTGGGGATGGTTTAAAGGGAATTTTGCAGCTGCAGTTCTACCACGGGCTTTCTGTGATGAGGGAACTATTTTACATTGAGTTAATCTGTTTCATTTACTAGATGTAATCATCAAACTGATTATGGGAGCTGAATGGAAGGGGGAGGTGGGCTCCACTTTTATTTGATCCATAAACATTTCCTTACTTCATAGTGTTTCTGGTCTACCTAAAAGATATTTGGGAATAGGCAGAGGAATTGAGAAGAAATTTGAGAAGAAACTACATAGATAAAATAGATTCATAGCTCTGGCTGGTGTGGCTCAATGGATTGAGCACCGGTTTGGTTCGCTGGTTTGATTTCCCAGTCAGGGCATATCGCCTGGGTTGCCAGCCAGGTTCCCAGTATGGGGCATGTGAGAAGCAACCACACATTGATGTTTCTCACCCTCTTTTTCTCCTTCCCTTTCCCCTTCTCTAAAAATAAATAAATAAAGTATTAAAAAATAGAATTATAAAACCATCAGAGACTTGAAAGTATTATTTCACCCATCCTTCTGCTTTCAGACCAAAAAACATTTAAACCAATTATACTGCTAATCTACCTGAGGAAGTAAAATGTTACCACATATATTAGATTGTATTATTGACAGAACATTAGACTTAAAACTTGATAGGAAAGACTAAAATTTGATAAAAAGGCACATAGCAGAACCCCAAAACTTAACCAGTTTTAAAAGTGATTACTTCCTTAATTAGGGAAATGGCAGTTACAAAGGTGGGCAGCTAGAAAGCTGAAAGGATCAGTGATATACTTAACCTGTCTTTATGATGCTCAACAGTAAGTTTCCAAGTGGAAATTGGCAAATTTTGGGTGTGTATCTTTAAATTGTGGCTCACTAGCTGGGTTATTTAACAAATTAGCATGTTCTTAGATGCCCCGCCTAGCCATGCCCCACCAGTCTCTGTTGAGCTTTGATTCTGAAAAGGGAGTATAGGAAAACTGTAGTTAAATGAAGGTTTCTTTTTCTTTTTAAGAAATTTAAAAAAGCTATCCCCAAATGATGTGTTATAAATATGTTCATTTAATCACATATTTTCCATATCTTGTCAAGTAAAAACAGTGTATAAAACACCCTGCAAAAATAACATTAGAGAATAAACTCTGATTTTTGATTTGTTATAATAGCATATTAGTTGTTATAAACCAAATAAGAATCAGACTGTTTGAGTATGTGGTGTAAAATTCACAGTATAAAATGATTGGCAAATGTCTTGGAAGTTATAAGCCACATGTTAATTGGCCAAATAAATAGATTTGTAAAACTTTGAAGCTGTCTTGGATTAAAAAAAAAATCTAGCCTTGTTCTTAAAGCCTGGTCTGGCATTTTTATAAGGACTTATAAAGTAGCTGAAAATGAATACTCTTTGAGCAAAGGGTATTATATGGTGAGTAAGGAAAAATGTTTATTTTTTATTCTGGAACTCACCTTTTGTAAAAAAAATTCTTCAGCTGGTCCTCAATTGGTTCTCCTCCTGTTCCTCTGCCTTGTCTAGCATCTATTTAGTCTTTTTCAATGTGCTCTCCTTTCTCTTCATCTTCAAACTTACTAAGATTTTTTTTTGTCTTCAACATTTGGTTGGTCTTATAGCCTTCTGTCTGTGGCTCAATCTTTTTCCCCCTTTTGTTGCCAGATACCTGCTGCCTCTGCTGTTTGTCCACCCATTTCCTTCATAACTCTGAAAACTAGCTTCTGCCTTGGCTTTATTTCTGGATTGTTATTTTGTTGAAAGTGATTCCTTCTGGCAAAACAGTGGTTTTTGCTCAATGCCACAGTGGTGTTCCATTACCCCTGGAAACCAGTCTCCTCTAATTTCCAAGACAATACTATCTTGTATGTATACTTGCGGATCTTCATATATTGATGTTCTCATTGATTTTGGGCAGATATGCTTTCTCTACCATGCTGTGTTGCCTGTTGTTGAACTGGGGATCGTAACCAGGGGTCTGAGTTTTTCCCTGCCTCTGTCCTCTCCATTAGCTCTCTGTGGATCCTAGATTTAATTTTCTTTCCTCATTAGTCAGAAAAGAATTGTCCAGAAAATCTCTAAGGTTCTCTTTTTAGTTTAAATATTCAATAATGTTAATATTTTAACAGCATCTCCCTGAGCCACATCAGTCTGTTGGGAGCTGACCCCACTTAATTTACCAAACTAGTTCTCCTTATGCCTCAACATGCACCGAGTTCCAGGCAGGTTGGCTGTGTCCCTTCTTATTTCTGCTTCTTTCAGCCTTTGTTTATGCAGACCCTGAATTCTTTCTCACTCCTCGTTTGTCCTTTTCTAATTTCTGTTCATCCTTCAATGTGCAATTCAAGCTTGTTTTCCTCATGAAGTCCTCCTGGACTAAACTCACTGCAATCTCACTTGGTGTGCTTGTTACTTGGGATTCTGCAGAACCACCCAGAAAGGTTTCTCCCCCTCGAAAATTTGGTTGAACACAGCTTAGCATTGCCCCCCCCTCCTTCTTTTTATCAAATAGAGTGTAAACTTTGTGGAAAGTAAGAAGCCTCTGTTTGAATTCACTTATAGTCACCCCAGTGCCCAGCATACCCACAAGTGGACAGTGTGTCATTGATGGAATGTTTTTCACACGGTTCCTGGTTGAAAGGTAGACTGGCTAAAATAAGTGGCAATATTGGCTTTGTTACAGTTATTAAATAACCAAATTTTAATTTAGTTTTAGTAATAGTCTAAGTCTTATAAGTTAAGTGATATTTTAACTAGGAATACTTTCTTTTCTTTTTTGTTTTTTAAGGAGCTCTAAGGAGGAACTTGTCCATATTTACGTATCTTCCTTCAGAGCATGTTTTTTGGATCAGGTTTCAGATCTGATTAATTACCTTTGTGAAATTAGATTTTTCACTTATTTTTTAAAACATATTTTATTTATTGATTCAAGAGGGAGAGAGAAAGAAACATCAATTTGTTTTTCTACTTATTTATGTATTCATTGGTTGCTTCTATGTGCCCTGACTGGGGATTGAACCTACAACTTTGTTGTATTGGTACAGTGCTCTGACCAATGGAGCTACCCCACCAGCATAGATTTGTCACTTATTTTTAGTGATACCTCTAGATAACGAAAATTTTTTATTGTCATCTGATAGGATAATGGAAGTGAAATACTTTGAAACATTTTAAATTGTTCAAATGTAAGATTTATACATTTTTTTACAGCTTACTGACTGTTGTGTTTTCACTAAATAAGGGAGATTGACTAGTCTCTCCCTTATTAAGGTACACTGCTCTGCTATGTACCTTAGCTGGTGCATACTTTAGCATTCACTAACAAATACTTAGGTAACATATCATGGTAGCAAATCCTTTTGTAACATATTATGGATGTCCATAATCTGTTTTCTTGCTTTATCATCTAATTTGTGGCATATGTACAATATATAATGTGGGTCTTCAAATTTGGGAAGTGTAATAGAAAATGTTATAAGGTGTTCTGTGACTTGGGCCAGCAGTATTGTTACATTAGATTTTAAACATTCCTACACTTCTTTTATTTGACTTTCTGACAAATAGTACATTAGGTTCTAAAATCTGCTTTATTACTATTATTTTTTTATTGTGTTTAGCTTGGAGAATTTTGTCCTTAAAGGAATCTTTAGATTAGTGATATAATAAGTAGTCATGCCTTATTTTTGCATCTTTGTTCTTTAAATTACTCAGACTGCTATGGGGCATGTTTGGTTTTGCCTTTCAAATTTGGTGTTGTGGAGTTCT